CGGGTTGATGAATTGATGCAGCAACCCCAAATGAATCACGATTGATTTTAAGTTGATTTGAGTTCGACATTAGCACGTTATGTTAAATGCTCAGTTAATAAGCATTAAAAAAAAATTATAATTTTCCACTGAACTTTTTGCAGAGCATTTCTGGGATTGCATTCCATGCAAAGGACACATAATGATGCATTACATTTAAATTATATTAAATTATTTTTATTGAGCTTGTCACAGTGTGTTATGAAATTGCATTTTCTATAAAGAGTACATGTGATGTTGCCTAGACATTTGGCCAAAACAAGATATTTTAACTTAAAAAACTAAATATAAAATTGTTGTTCATACAGAGAATGTGCCTTTTTATGCCTTAAAGGGATAGTTCCCCCCAAAATAAAAATATCATTCATGTTGTTCCAGGCCATATGACTGACTTCTTCTGCAGAACATTAAAGAAAATATTTTGAAGAATGTCTCAAATGTTTCAAAACCATATTGGGCCACATTGACTTTCTCTATATGGACAGAAAAATCACTCAGACATGTCTTGAATACCTTCTTTTGTGTTGCACATAACAACATGAGTAAATTATGATTTCAGAGTTTCTATTTTTTGGTGAACTATCCCTTTAAAATGCTGCCTCAGAGTATGTAATGCATCTTCGAGAAGACAAATAAACAGTTCATGTGAATCCTCTTTCAAGGACGTTCTCTTGTGGTATTACAGTCACTCTTGAGGCTTTAACTCGCTGGATTACCGTCTCCCTGTGCTGTTTGGTTTCTTGTACGGTAGATTTCTATGATTCAGCCTGGTTCTTGGCCGTTTTTATGAGGCTTTTTTAATAGTGTTCATATCGATATCGGAATTATATCGTATCGACCGAAATTAAGAAATATATCGTGATATAAATTTTGGCCATATCGTCCAGCCCTAGGTGAAACGCTATAGTAATACTATAAATACTATAGTATATATTATAAATCTGCGTAAGCATCTGATATCACGCGTAGTACGCCATGATTTCCGCAATGAATGAATGGTGGATGGCGCGGCGCACTGTTTTGTTTACTACACACATACTAAAGCGTGGATGACGCTCGCAGTGATTTCAGCTTCTGCCGTCACACTATATGATGATATGAACACGAATGTCATCTCCAGCTGCTCTGAGAGTCACTTCTTTAGCATTTTACCGTTTCATTTGAGAAAACTACCGTCATATCACATACACAGCAGCTGCAAGTTCTTCACGGCACCCCGTCAAAATAAAAGTTTAGTTTAACGTTAAGAAACTGTCAGAATATATTACTATTTAGCAGTCTTAAGACTCAATGCTACTACTTCTAATAAATATGAATAAATCTTTATTTTTAAAGGAATAATCACATTGTTTTCTTTTTTATTTTAATAGTAGACCTCTGTTGTGCAGCACTTTGTTTGCCAAAAAAATAAAATGGTTTAATTTTCATTTGATTATGATAAATTAAAGTAATGTTTTATGCCTTCATCTGATTACCAGAAAAATTACATTTTAAACATTTTATGGGGCCCTATTATTGTTTAAAAAAGGACCCTATACAAAAAAAATACAGGCATGTGGTTCTTAATTTCTTTTTATTAATTCACCATTTGTAAACTGATGTTTACTGTTATTTTTTTTAGAAATATCAATAGCATTTGTATTAAAACTATAGTCACGGAATGTAATTAAAAAAAATCGAGAATCAAATCGGGACATCTGAATCGATACCCAGCCCTAGTCTTCAGTGTCACATGATCCGTCAGAAATCATTCTAATATGCTGATTTGCTGCTCAAGAAACATTTCCTATTATCATCAATGTTGAAATCGGTTGTGCTGCTTTCTTAAAATTCTTAAATTTTTTTAAAGTAATCATTTAATAAAACTTGAATGTAATCTATAGCAAACTAAAAATGTATATCAAAAGTTAATATCTGTTTTTTCACATTGTTCATTGTTGTGATGCCAAAATTCACTTTTAGCAAATTATTTTAGTTTTTACTGTTTTATTTATTTGATTTTATTAATGTTATAAAGCTCTAATATCCATTTTTTGATGATGGTAATAATAATTATATAATAATAATAATTAAACCTTATTTTATTTTTGTCTACTGTAATTATATTGACAAATATATTCTCAAAGTTTTGTCATTTGAAAGATCAACAACAAGGTTGCTCATTCAATGTTCAATTTTAAGTAACTGACCCTGCAGTTTCTTTGATCAAATGCACAGCTGGACAGAACAAAACAGAATGTAAGTGTTACAGAAAAATGTTTATGTAACAGAATGTAACATTTCTGAAAGTATCTGTTTTTAACGTTTATCATGCCATGCTAAAACCTTCTTAAAGAAATTGCGGCTCCAAATTCATCTTTATTTGAGCACTGCCGCTAGATTGTAGTTGATTTGACTAGTTGGCCTCATATTTATTTGCATCACAAAAAATTAATATGTCATCAATCCCGACTGAAGTTATAGCTTTGTCTAGCTTATGTTTTCGTACAGCACCACTATGCCGCTGAGAGTAGCTGTGGCTTTAACAAGCCTCGTAGAGATGCAGGATATGTTAATAGCACCCGATCAATCCCAGCAGCTCCTCATTGTCATGCAGGGCACAGGTGAAGGGTTGAGCTTGCAGTAATTGTCCCCTAGGTCAGCACATTTCCCACAACGCACTGCCCTCAGATTCTCTCTCCTCCCTCCCTCCCTATTATTTCTTGCTGTGGGTTTGATATGAATTCCTACCCCGTCAGTCATGTTTCATTACACTATAATCGTCAGACGGAGCTTGTTTGGCTGATGTGCTGACGTTACGAGAGAGATACAGGGAGGAGCGTCAGATTGTCCGGAAGGGAACGGAATATTCAACCTGTCCTGATAGAGACCACAAATATGGATGGTGAATAAAAGACCACAAAGTGTATCACAAAAAGATTGCAGAGTTTTGACCAATGAGTCCCTCTCTTCGACATACTTCATTTGGTCAGATTAGCGTGCTAGTCGAAGCAAAACTGCTTGATCTTCTGAATTCGTTCACGGGCGCTTTATAAAACACAGTTGAGATTAAAGGGATCAGAGTGCGGTTGAGTTACAGCTGTTTTTTTAGCCTTGGCAAGAGACCGATAACCATAACTCTTGCTGTCAGATCGTAGTAGATCTGTTTAACTAGCTGTGCGCTAACAAGATGTGTGCGGATTGAGACCGGCCCGACGTAAAGGGAGCTCACAGCTGTGAAGCGGACGAGACCGGAGTTATTATCTGCGAGGTCAAAGGCACCAGACGGATGGACTGAGACTTGATCTCTCAGCTTGTGACGATGTGACACGGGGACGTCATTCATCCTTCATCTATCACCGTGAGGTCAGAAGGCCATCAACCTCTCATCACCGTTTCCATTTGTTACAAAAACCTTCTCCATTTTAAACATCCAGCCTACTGCATCTGTGGATTTGCAGACACACTCCTTACTGTTGCATGCTGAAAATGGTCCTGTTGGATGTTTGGGATCATTTAATACTGTAAAGCCTGAATTATGGTCAGAATTTGTTTTGTGTGTGTGTGTGTGTCTCATATTTGAGCCATTAGACTTTAATGGTAATTTATTGATAAATTAAATAATGCTGTTTATTATTGTATGTTTTATACAGTGTTGTTATCATTGGTAAAATAAATTAAAATAAAGTGGAAATATAATTGTTACTCATTTTGAGTATAAGTTACTTTTTTTCAGTATCTAATGCTTAGGCTACTTTCTACTGTAAGTATATAAGTAATTGTTTTTTATAATGGGAATTTTTTTAGTATTAGAATAATATTTTTAATATTATAAAATATTTTTCCTTATTTTTTTCATTTAGTTGATTTTATCTAGAATCTTAGTATATATGTTTTCATTTTTTTGTAAACATTTTTGAGTCTAGTTGGCTACAGTTGACATGAGAATTTTTATTATTATTGCTTATTTTAACTTTGTGTGTTAATATGCCTTATTAACACGGAAAAGTTGTTTTTGTCCCTCCCAAAACATACAGTAAATAAACATCCTTGTAAATTTAGGTTGAAGGTTTAACAAATGTTCAGGGATCTTATACGTGGTCTTCTTGATCACAATGACAGATTTAGTCTTTAGTGAAATGAAGAATCTTGTATGAGGAGAGAGTGAAGAATCCCTATTAATAGATGTGTGTGTGTGTGTGTGTGTGTGTGTGTGTGTAAGTGAAGGGGTGGATATCCTGCCAGGTGCTGTCTCCGGCCCTGACACCACTGACATTCCTCATCCTTCAAGGATTTCCTCACTTAAGGTCTTGCCAACGGGCGTGATTGAGTGGGTGGCACAGTTTCTAGAGCTACAACCCACCATCCTTCATGCTCACAGTTTAAACCATGAAGCTCACGTTTAATCCCTCCGCTTCACCCTGCTGCTGTTTATTTTGCGGTAACAACCATTATGGCTTACATACAACTACGTGCGATTAGATCGTGACGGTTTTTCCCAGTGATCTTATTTTCTATAGGAGCACAATTGTGCGGCGCTGGTGTTGTTGCCATGACTGTGTGAATCTGCTATGTGTGGTGACTGCATTGCAGAAGCCTTGGAGAAATGAATAAATCAGTGCTTGAGCACCTCGGGTAGCTTCGCTGGACGTCAGCAGAGACATCTTTCCCCGTCCTTTCTTCTCCTCAATCCTAGCATGAGGATGCACCACCTTTGTTGTTTTCTTGTCTGTTACATAACGTGTAGGAAGATCATTTACACTCTAGGGATGCTTTTACGGATGTTAAGCGCAGAGACTCTTTCAAAGACATTTCTGAATGTGTGTGTAACCCGCTTGATTTTAATGAATGCATCTGCATCCTTTAGGCCGCGTGGGAATGTAACCAATTAAACTTGTTGATGGTAATCTAACGATTTGTGTGTTTCTCTATTAATCTCTTTCTTTCTGTTATGTGTTTTTTTCCCTTTTCTCTCAATGCAGAGTGCTGCAATGGAGGAGACGGTAATATGGGAACAGCACACTGTAACTCTACACAGGGTGAGAATTTAATCGTCTCTGTTGATTTGTGAATCATTCGGAGGATATTGTCTTGTTTTACTTGTCAGTGAATATCTTGTTTATATCTTATATTATTTATGATATAAATGTGTTTTATTGCATTCCATTAACAGATTATTTAGCTTGTTTTAAAGACCTCATGAAATCAAGACTCAAAGTAACAAGTCATGGTTGCAACTTTGATGTAAACTATAACCTTTGGCTAAAATAAAGTAAATTCTGTCCAAACTTATTTTAATAGGAAGTGCCACAAAACAGGAGAGAAACCAAAAGAAATGTTGCTCTTCAGCTAAACTTATATTGCATGGGTATTTAGAATTTTTTACGAGGAAACTAAGCAAAACATTTTTTTTTTTACATTTATAGTCTTACAGCCGAGGGCCTGCTGCAGTAAGACTCCTCTCTGACCCGCTTTACCATGACAATGCCAATTCAGCTCCAGTTTCATTCCTGAATTTGATGCATTTTGATAAAATCGAATGAAATTCAATATTTAAATAACATGACTGTTTTTATTAAAACACAATTTTTATTAATTACACTTAAAAATGCTATGGGCTATTTCCAACAAGAATATTAATTGGTCATGCCCAATTTGTATAAAAACATTTGTTTTAAATGAGAAAAGTGCAAATTAAAAGCATTTTCACTAGTGCTCTCAAAATATTAATTGATTTGTATCGAAAACAGTTGTATTAAATTCAAAAAAGTGCAAATTAAAAGCATTTTCACTAGTGCTCTCAAAATATTAATTTATTTGTATCGAAAACAGTTGTATTAAATTAAAAAAGTGCCAATTAAAAGCATTTTCACTAGTGCTCTCAAAATATTAATTTATTTGTATCGAAAACAGTTGTATTAAATTAAAAAAGTGCCAATTAAAAGCATTTTCACTAGTGCTCTCAAAATATTAATTTATTTGTATCGAAAACAGTTGTATTAAATTAAAAAAGTGCCAATTAAAAGCATTTTCACTAGTGCTCTCAAAATATTAATTTATTTAATTTGTATTTAAAACGTTCATTTAAATTAGAAAAGTGCAAATGAAAGCATTTTCACTAGTGCACTCCAAATATTAATTTATAAAAATTTTATTTAAAGGGTCATGAAACCCCCGTTTCAGCACTGGTTAGTTCAGACCACAGTTTTAAAAAACGCTAAAATCACAAATTGTGACGTCAACACAATGTAGATTTTAAATCCGGAAGATGAAAATAGCGCAAAAAAGCTTAAAATTATCCAGTTTTCTACAACAGTTAAAATTATCGGATGCTAACATTGTCTTCTATGATGTGCAACACAAACACCTCTGCTAAAATCTCAGAAAAAGTAGTCTGGGGTTTCATGACCCTTTAAATCATTCATTTGAATTAGAAAAGTGCAAATTAAAAGCATTTTCACTAGTGCACTCAAAATATTAATTTATTTAATTTGTATTTAAAACATTCATTTAAATTAGAAAAGTGCAAATTACAAGCATTTTCACTAGTGCACTCAAAATATTATTTTTTTTTATTAATTTGTGTCAAAAACATTTGTATTAAAGTGTCATTTCAAAGCATTTTCACTAGTACTCTTTAAATATTACTTTATTTGCATCAAAACATTTGTATTAAAATAAAAAAGCATTTTCGGTACTTTATTTAATTTGTATTGAAACATTGTATTTTTCAAATTTAGGACAAAATGAAATGCATTTTCACTAGTGGTCTCAGACTTTTAACCCCACTGTATATTTATTTTATTTTCAAATAAATATATTACATTTATGGACCATGATGAAAGTCTTTATTTCCCAGAATGCTCTAATTACTCCAAAATTTATTGTTTATTTAATCTATTATATCATTTATTTGTATCAAGTTATCTGAAAACTGCTCTTCACCCTGATGGATTTTCTTAACATGTAAACGCATGAGCACACAGGGCTGCTGATCAAGCTTTGCTCCATCTTGTGTTGAGATCAGTTGGAGTGGCACTTTTGCTTACTGCTTTCTGCTCTCTTTGCCCCCGGCAGGGAGAATGACAGAGTGGTGATGGTTAACGCCGTCTCCATGGATAACGTGGATCACGCATATGCAGTGCAACAACTTCGGAAAAGTGGCAAGAATGCAAAAATAGTATGTATCCCCCTTTTCATTTGTTCTTTTCGGTCTCCTCTTGCATTAAGACACAGACTCATCATCCATAGGGGAAAGAAACTCTGATGTGAAAGTAATCATGCCGTGTCAAATTAGCATTATAACATACAAGGTCATTTACATAGAATGGAAATATTTATAGAGAGAGTGAGAGATATATTTTCAAAATTGCCTCAGAGTTTTTAGTTATTTGTATAATTTGTACTTTTAATTAAACATTTGTGTTAAATTAGGAAAGTGCAGATTGAAAATATTTTGATGAATTGTCTCAGATTTATTTATACATTTGTGTTAACTTTAACGTTAACGTTATGTTGTGCAAAAATCCATAAGAGAATGATTTAGAGACACATTAGTAATGAAAATATGCCCACAAATTTTCAATAGTGGTCTCAGACTTTATTAATTAATTGATTGATTGATTGATTATTTTTATTACAAAAATACAATATATATATATATATATATATATATATAAATGTAATATTTGTGTTAAATTAGGAAAATGCAAATTAATAGACCCACTTTTATGTATTTTGCACTAAAATCCATAAAAGAACATTTTAGAGACTGAAAATGGTCAAAAAGTTTCACTAGTGGTTGCAGACTTTATTCATTTATTTATTTAAACATTTGTGTTAAATTAGGAAAATGCAAATAAAAAGACAACACTTTTATTTATTTATTTTGCGCTAAAATCCATAAAAGAATGTTTTAGAGTAACATTAGAGATGAAAAATATGCCCCAAAATGTTCACTAGTGGTCTCAGACTTTTTTTGCTTGCATGTTTGTTTGTTTTTATTTAATTTGTAATTTTGTTTAAAATTTGTTAAATTAGGAAAGTCCATATTGAAAATATTTTCACGAGTGGTCTCAGACTTTATTAATTAATTAATTCATTGTATTTTTATTACAGAAGTATATAAAACAATATTTAAACATTTGTGTTAAATTAGGAATGTGCAAATTAAAAGACCTACTTTTATTTATTTATTTTGGACTAAAATCCATAAAAGAATGTTTTAGAGCTTGTGTTAAATTAGGAAAGTGCAAATTTAAATACCCACATTTATTTTGCTCTAAAACCTGTGAGAATGTTTTAGAGATGAAAAAAAAATGCCCAAAAAGTTTCACTAATGGTCGCAGACATTATTTATAAATTTATTTAAAATTAATTATATACACACACACACACACACACATATATCTGTGTCGTTAGAGTTGTATATGTAGACTTCAGTGCAACTTTATCATTATAATTATTGTCCTTGGTGTGAACAGCCTTAACATGACAAGTTTCCAGCTGGTCTGTCCACAATGAAAGTGAAAATGCTGCACGAAACAACATGATCACATATCAATAAATAAAAGTCTGAGACTGAAAAGTCTGTAAATGCTTTTAATTTGCACTTTTAAATAAATCAATGCAGTTTCTAAATAATTTAAAACTAAATATGCTGAAAAATAAATACATGATATAATATGTTATATAATCAACTGACTAAATTTTTTTTTTTTTTTGAGTAATTGGAGCATGATCCATAAAATTATTACATTTAAAATATTTTTAAATAAATTGAATTGAATGTACAGTGGTTTCAAAAGTCTGAAACCACTAGTGAATTTGCATTTTTCAAATTTAATAATAATGTTTTTAATTCAAATGAGAGAAATTAATAACGTCTGAGACCACTTTTGAAAAATGCTTTTAAATTTACACTTTTTCGAATTTAATCTAAATGTTTTCAATAGTTTTTTTTTTTAAGAAAATGTATTTAAGTTGAATAAAAAGTTGATTTTAATGATTACAATAAAATATGAAGAGTTCATTTGCAAAAACCGATAACTCCATTTTTATTTTTTTTGAGAAATCAAGTTTTTTTATTGCGCATTCCAAGTAATATCAATCAAACTGCAGTTGTTGGGTTGTTTTGATTAAGTAATAATAACTTAAACAAATACAGGTAATTTACAAAATTAAATTTGAAAAGTTGAAAGTATGTTTTTTTACATATTAAAAGTTTGTTTTATAGCAAAAGCAGATAACTCCCAACAGTCGTTTTTTGGCAAAAGCAGATAACTCTGTAATCTCCTCAGATGACAATGTAGATGCCTGACAAACGTTGTTGTTGTGATCATAAACTGAATGGATGTGATTACACGCAATACACGGAGCTTTTCCCTCACCATTGTAACGCACTGCTTTTACAAGGTTCAGTGAAAACGTTTCAGCTTTTTCGCCCTGAAGAAGATATCACAGGTTCATCAAGTTCGTCTTATCCATTTTATGGATTATCTATTCTCGATCACTTTTGGTCAGCTTTGACGAAACTCCTCTCAGCTAGCACATCTTTTCAAAAAGAAAGTAGCCTTGTCACCTGACCTGAATACAGTGCACTGATTCGCTAAAATGGATTTTATCGGCTTCTGTTCAAAAACAACAAGGTCAGCTTCTGCAGTAAAATGTGAAATCGCGGTGCCTTGAAAGTGGACAAAACGTGTTTAGGGTTCAGATCGCGCTATATGTGGAGAATAATGCACGGCAATCAGCTCTTTTTTTTTTCCCATGTGGCGTTTATCGGTTTTTGCAAATGAACTTCATATATAATTACAAAAATATTTGTTTTAATTTAGAAAAATGCAAATTAAAAGCATTTTCACTAGTGCTCTCAGACTTGTGCTGTAAACTTTCGTGTTTAGGGTTCAGATCGCGCTATATGTGGAGAATAATGCACGGCAATCAGCTCTTTTTTTTTTTTTCCCATGTGGCGTTTATCGGTTTTTGCAAATGAACTTCATATATAATTACAAAAATATTTGTTTTAATTTAGAAAAAGGCAAATTAAAAGCATTTTCACTAGTGCTCTCAGACTTGTGCTGTAAACTTGTATATATATAATAATGACCAATGCATACAACAACATTACTAAAACTTATTAGATAAAAAATTTAAAATAAATGTGTCTTGCCTTAATGATGTTTAGACTATTTTTGTTGTTGTTACTGGGAAACAAGACAAAATACTAATTGAATTATTTTGTGTTTTTTTTTTACAAATTTATTTAAATATGCAATTTTGAGTGTATTCTTATTTTATTCCATTTGGATCTTTTAGGGAATACAATATTCCAATAGCAATAACTGTAACATAACACCTGTAATGGTGTGAAATCATTTGATCTCTTTGTTAGATATTTCAGACATCCACTCCGTGGCCTCCGATCATTCTAACCGATCCCACAATCGGAAGAGGAGCAGCCGCTCTCGTTCTCCGGACCGCCGCTCCGAGCCCTCGGACCACTCTAGACACTCTCCACCACAGATCAGCAATGGCAGGTCAGATAGCCTTGCTGTTTTTCTCAAATTCTTTGGATGCTGCCATACAAGATATTTTAGTAAACATGAAATCAGAGGTCCGATTCACGTGACGTAAATGTACCACTTTTCGGAGCCAAATAATCTACAAATAGTTGGTTTTCGAGTTTTTTTCACCTCAATATTTAGGTCCTCCTGTCTTTATAATATTCATCAGAATGAGGTGTATTTCAGCTTCAAGAGCTGGAGCTGCAGGCCTGCTCACCGCTGATTTGAGAACAGCCTTGTGACGAGAGAGAGTGATGATGAGAGAAGCCTCTGTCAGACGGTACCGCAGCGCTTGACAAAACGCTCCTGTAAATTGGAAGTGTCCTAGATAGATAAACCAGGGTGTGACAGCGGTAGAGGAAGGGAGGAATTTCATCTCCCTGCAAATGTGCCAGCCTCCTAAATGAAACCCTAAATTTAAAGGTGAAGTGCGTAATTTTTTCGCTGGTAAAATACTTTGAAGCATCAGTAGGCCATTTGAAGGTTTACTTATGAAGAGATTAAACTCTCTGGCACTATGAAAACAGGCTTTGTTTGTTTCTTTGAGCTGCCCAATAGACATCTTTAGGCTCCAATGAGGGTTGCTTACTGTTATCGAACAATATGTTTTAGGCGAAGAAATTACACACTTCCCACAAGCCAGATTTGACCACACACATGTTTGCAGATCCTCAGGTGTGTGAGTGTTCATGAAGTTTCTTCTGATTCTTGTTTTGAATCAGGGCCACAGGGCCGACGGCTCAGAGAACCCGGCCAGTGTAAGTGTTTGGGTCCGGTTAACGCAGCGTCCCGAACATAGCTAACCAAACTAACGCTTTTGTAAGCTTTGCATTAAAGCATGTGATGTGGGCGCTTCTCAAATTGGTGTAACCTAATGTGTGTGTAGTGTGCTGAAATGGTGTTCTTGCTTTACCTGAGCTAGTTGTTCATTTCATCATCCCAACATCTCTCACCTCTGGCTGAAGCCCAACAAACCAACTTGGGAACAGGACATTTGTTGGTTTGTATGCCCAATCCCAGCATGCATCTGTGACATCAAACATCCATCCATTTATTCTCACTTCTAATGCGAATTCAAAGGACTGGTCTCAGCTGTGTGTTACCTCTTTTCTACTGAGCGAAAACTAAAATAGGGGTGTCTGTCGAAAAACAACAAATACACACATACTCCAAAGGACCTGTGCTGTCAGTTTAGCGGTGCAGGTGAAAACATGCTGCTTTTAACATCTTTTGTAGTAGTTCTTCTCTGCCTCAGAGAGTTCTCGGTAATACTGGCACATCTGCTCAGCCAACCATCCTTGAAAGTCGTCCAAGAGGATTGAAGCACCACCTGCACTGTGTGTGAAAAGTCACCAAAAATTGGAATCTTTGAAGACAGAGGCTGCGTCCTGAAAGCTTAGGCAGCTGCCTTTTTGCCCCTCAATCCAGCTAGATTGTTGTTGGTTTGAAAGCCTTTTGTGGTATGGACGTCATCACTGAATTCCTGATGGAACCAATGGATTTAACGGACTGGAACTATTCGAGAAGCCAATTTTTACGTCCCAGATCCAACTTTTCTTAGGTGGAAAGTGAAATGGTGCCAGAATGGGCATGGCACTGTTAGTGGAAAGAAGGGTTCCTAGCTGTTCTAAAAATGTTTACTTAACATTCCCATTAAGTTACGAAACTGTCATCATTTTGCAAACATTATGGAAATGTTACTTTTGAATGTTCTATGAACATTCTGAAACAAGTAGTTGAACATCCAACTAATATGTTTCAGACAAAACATTACATGAACAATGTATAAATGCTTTTGTGCAAAGTTCTAGAACACACAAGTTTTAACAAACATTCTATGGAATTATATGGAAGACGTTTGGTCACAACTTTGAGAGAACCCTGTTAGACTGGATGTTTGAGAACATGCAGCAGAATTTCCTGTCACCCTGAGAACATAAGAGTAGATACATGCATATAAATCAAAACTGCTACCTTTCATGTCACAAAGTTGGGTCTGTTGGCATTCTTATGGTACCATCAGCCAGTCAGAGGAGTCATGGTGCTTTCAGAGGGATTAGTCAGATGGCATTTGCTGAACAACTGCCTTTGGGAAGTATTGTAGACCTCCTTTGTTTGAACCTTTTAAGAGTGAAAGAGCAAGATCCAGCATTTTTCCACTTGCTCTTTCAAAGTCGATTTTAGTGGAAAATAGAGTGGAAAAGCAGGATTGTCAGTCAGTTAACAAATAGGAAAGACTGTGTTTTAAGACGTCCTACCAAGTTCTTTCCTCCCTTTTCTCTTTGATTTGAAAACTAGAGAATCACACCAGTGTTTTGAAACTGGTGCTTTGCAAAATAAGTAGGATCAACTCATGAAAGGCAGGACAAAAGTTTGTGTGATTATGATGTCTGTACAACATCCAGTCAGACCAATATTTTGGTGCAAATTCCTTGGGCACTTGGGGGCCGCAAACCAAATTAGGCAGATGCCAACATGAACATGCTCTTATTCTCGAAACCAGTAATTTTTATACATTTCAAGGAATAAAATAGGACATTTTTATAGTTTTGTATTTTAAAAAAATGGTACTGTTAGGTAGGCACTAAATTCCAATGGAAAATTTGGGTCCTGATTCAAAACCAGTTGGAGAACTACTGAATTACAGTAGACCAGTAGACCAAAATACTCATCAAATTCCCGTCCCAGAATGTAATATTTCTTCGAAATAGAGGATAATTGGTAACCGCAATTTCTTTTTCTCTCATAGACGGTTTTATGGATCATGGGATCTGTGAAAACCCTCAAGTGGACAGTGATGGCTTTAATACTTTGAGGATAAGTGTGTGGCATAACCCATTGTACCTCAATGTCATCAGCCAAGGTTTTTTATTGAGCCACACAGTAATTGCTGGGAAAGATATTCGTCATGGTCATGAATAAAACAGGACCACATGTGGCGGCCCGGTCCTGCAGAGATGGAGAGTTTCTGCAGTCCGTGGATGTCGCCCGCTATTGTTTACGGTGACAATGAAGGTCACGGGCCGGACCTGTCATCTTTGGCCACGTGCCGATTTTTGGAGTGCCTCAATGGCGGTGGTGCACCTGGAGTCCTTTTCTCTTTCCCGTCTCTCTCTCTGTCTCCTCCATTACTCCAGATCAGATGGGCTACGCTAAATATAGTCCAACAAAGGAGCTGCAAAGCACAGCTGTGACCTTCAAGACTACCTAGCTGCCCTAGCCACACAACGTCCTCCCTCTCTCCCCATCTACCTCGCTCTCATCTGCCATTTGTCTTTCAGTGTAAACAGTGTTTTATGGGTTGTGTGCTTAGGCTTGATAGTGTGGAAAAAGCAGTGTGTTGTTTTTGGTTGTCCTGCTGCGAGCAGAGCATGCATTAATCATCAAAAGCTTTAACCGAACAGCACAAAAGCTCATTTCATTCCGCACTGTACCATATATTTTCATTGTCTTGTATACAGGTGTATTTATTGATTGTACTTTTCACTTACGGCCTGAAACATACTCTTCCAAGTACGTGAACTAGCGATGGACGCTTTCGAAACACTGTTTTGTGAGGCTTCGAAACCTTTGCAAATCGTTTTGTTTTGAATCAATGATTCGGAGCACGCTGCAAGCTGTCAAAATCATATTATTTCAGTAAGTGAGGCTTCATTATGTCAGAACTGTTTCACGATGCTTTGAAATTTTGGTGGTTCGCCACCAGCGGGTATTTTGTTGTATTTATACTGTTCTGACCAGCAGGCATCACCAACATGTGGCGTTTCGAATGCTTTGAAGACAGTAAATCATTTTGAAAAGCAATTGATTCAAAGTTTTGAAAAGCACACTTAGCCTAGCGCTAAATACCTTCAACGTGTTTTTGCAGTGTTGAGCAATGTAGCCGACATTAACAGACATATCTGTTGATTTCTTGAACGCAATGGCCAATCAGAAACATTTTGTCAGAATTCACTCACCGCTGAAAGCACTGCAGTTTTTAGTGTAGTTTTGCACGCTCGTGAATCATCTCATGACTAAGTGCAGACGTGATGTAAATAAGAGATTCATTGTGCAGTTTAGAGAGCGTCACCGATTATAACGGAACTTTGTAAGATCGGGATGAAAGAAGATGAGTGACGCTTTTTAGTGATAAAGGGAGCGCTCTTTGCGCACTTTCTAGGGTATAATCCATTCTGAATTTGTATGAAACTTTCGTTTTTCGGACACATAGGCTACATCCTGCAAAGTTTCGGGAATGACGTCCGCATACTTATGCGGGATTTACTCTCGAAATAGCAGTGATTGGCAATGGACGGAACATAAAATATGTTGATTTAATTCTGGAACCGGTCCTGGCCAAACCTCCACAGACAGCGCGCGTCCCGAGTGAGATCTAATTCACGGACCAAAAGCGTGTGTAAACTTTATTGAGATCGGGACATATCAACCAGTAATTTATTTTCATTTACAGTAATGGACGGTAGAAAGTTCAGCAATGAATGATATGCGATTTATGACAGAATATAGTCCCACAACTGATCGTTTATTTTTTCCTCATGTGTCTCACCTTTGGTAACAACGATTCAAAACAGAAACATTTCAAGAGACACGGGAAAAAGACACGGAAAACTTCAGTGAACATCAGAAAAGCAGCGTGCACATTTCTGGTTAAAAATGAAAGGCCATCAACTGACAAACGGGAAGCATCACCATTCAAGTCAGCAGGAAGAGTCAAAGCTAGTCCACATTTTACTAAACAGTGGCAACCTCTTTAAGTTATTCTTGACTGTGTTGGATTGACTGCTTTGATGCATTGTAATACATTTCTTGCCCCCCCTGACTCAAGAGGCAAATGTCGCCCATGAGCACAGATATATGATGGTATCGACCCTTGGAGTTACTTAGGTTTGTTACCATCAAAATACAAATTAGGTAACCAAACCACATTCTTCGTCGGCCGAGCATTCACAGCTGCGTTTGGGTACTTGTGTTGAGAATGTTTCTGGCCTTAAGAGGAAATGTCTTTCACTTTTAAAGTGGATTCGATATGCCTGATTCATTTGTGCACATTTTAGTTTGTTACAATGAATCAGTGGATTCGTTTGAGTCATCAATCAAAAGTGTTTCCAGAAGTATGCCATTTTACGTATTCTTTATTTTTATTTTTTTAAATGCAATCTAATCTCTATATATAAGTATTATCTGATATTTGTTTGGTGGATAACAGTCAGTAGATTTAGTGATTTGGTTTGTTTGGACTGTTCAGTGAAACAAAAACAAAAAACCTGGTTTGTTTCAGTTATCACTCACAAGTTTTCCAGTAGTATGTCTATATCAGTTTTTGTAAGAAAAAAAGTATTTAGTTAAATACGACTATTTACTTATTAAAATATTTTTAGGTTATGATAATATAAGTTGTTTTGTACAATGCATAAGAGTTAGTCAATTTGGAAGTCAGTTTGGAAAATCTAGTTAGCAGTTTGGTTCATTCATGCTGTTTTTATTACTGTTTAAAAAAACTGATTAATCGATTATCATTCAAAATTGATTCTTTCAAAAGTGGCAAAAATCATTGTTGTCGATAAGTTATGAAAACTAGCTTTTTTTGTTGTTGTAATATATCATATAAAAGTATACGTTTGAGTTTGATGCCGTCATGATCCAAATTGTTTGTGTCAGATAAACCTGTTTTTAATGCTATCAAGTTGAAGAAGAATCATTCTGAGAATTGCTTCTTCGAAGTTTTCCATTGCTTACGGTTCAAACATATCACTTCCCTTAATGTTTTACTTCCAAACAAACTGCTCACATAAAATCAACTGATTTAAAATTCTCCACGAATCAGTTTGACCAAATCATTCAAAAGAAACAGCTTCTAAGAATAATTCATTCACAGATTTACTTCAGTAAATCATAACAAGACCAATGTTAAATGTGTGGGATTCTAACAGCTTAACTCTGTGTTGTCCTTTTTTCTTCACCCACAGTCACCGAAGCCGTGATGAAGACAGGGTCTCAAAGGCAGGGCCGCTTCCCCTGCCTGCTAAGATGGTGGAGGAGATGGCAAAAGAGCAGACTGCAGCCAGAGAAGAGAAACAGCTCCCCCCTCTGCCAGGTCAGAGGTCACTACACACGAACACACTGTGATTAAACGTACATTATTCTCAGCCTGGGTTTGTGCATAGGCGGTGACGAGCAGCGGGAGTTTGTCCGTTTTGACAGTGTCTTTCCAACTACTCCGTCCCGCTGGGTGTCTCTGTGACCTCCCAGAGCGCGACATGCTCCTGTGATGACATTTTTGTGTGTGCGTGTGTACTTTATTCGAATACTCCGTGTGCCTTGATCTTCTCAGAGCCCAAGCCTGTGTACGCTCAACCCGGCCAGCCTGATGTGGACCTGCCTGTTAGTCCGGCAGACGCCCCAGTGCCCAGCGTCACGCATGATGACAGCATCTTACGGTGCGTGCTACTTACTTCAGTGTTTTAGAGATGTTGAGAATGAAATGTCCTAAATGTATGTTTGTGTGTCCACCCTCAGGCCGAGCATGAAGCTGGTGAAGTTTAAGAAGGGTGAGAGCGTCGGGTTGAGACTCGCTGGCGGGAATGACGTTGGGATATTTGTGGCAGGAGTTTTGGAGGACAGTCCTGCTGCTAAAGAGGGCCTGGAGGAGGGAGACCAGATTCTCAGGGTGAGAAAACAATGTTTTGCTTCACTGTAACCTCTTCACTGATTAATTACTGCAACGTCTGACTAAAAGCTGTTTATATAGGCAACTACCTATAAAGGGCACTTTGACAGCGGTTAATTCATCAGGTTGCTGTACTTTTGGTTGCTAGCGATCCACCAATCAGAGCAGTCTTTGTTACTGTGGAAGTGGGAACTCTGGCAAAAGAACTCAACAGTGACTGCCCACTCCCATGAAGCATTGCAAATTCACTCTTAAATAGCTTATGTATTTGTATATAATAAACTTCAGATATATTGTTATGATTCATGGTCCGTTTACTTTTGAGCTTCTGTTTCTGAATCAATTACCTAATTTCCGATTTGATTTGCAGTACATCATGGGATGTGTAGTTCATTTCCTCATAAAAGAGGTTAAGTGCATGGTTATGTAGTCTGTTTACCGATTCAAAATATATATTTTTTCGTTTCATGTTGCATTTATCCAACTTGGAGCTGTTTAGTTTAGTTGAGTCACAGCTCCTTAACAAAAATTTTTTTTCAATGATTTAAATAAATGAATATGAAAAAATTGAATTCTGGAACCATTTTTATAATAACCAGTTTTTATAATAATATACATTTTTGTAATATGCACAAAAATATTTGCAATATGCACAAAAATATATTAAAATACACAATAATATTTGCCTTGACTTAAACTAGTGTTATTTTACTATTGTTGAAATACTTATATACAGTAGTTTATTAATAATTTGAATTAGTTTTATTTTTATATTTTCATTTTTTATTTTAATTTCAGTTAAAGTTTTGTGAAGTTTTCAGTTAAAGTAATTGTGTTGTATGTTTTGACATTTTTATTAGTTTTTAATAATTCTATATAGTTTTATTAATTTTTCATTTCAGTTTTAGTTGAGTTATTTTAGTTAAGTTAAACTAAATTAAAATGAGAAATGTTGCCTTAGCAACTACCTGAATAAAGCTTTAAGTTTTTTTTAAATATATATATATATATATAATTTATTTCAGTTAATGTTTATTTTATTTCAATTAACAATTTTTTTATGGTTTCCATTTCTAGATAACTATAATAACTCTGGGATGATCTCTTGATTTTCTCTAGATACATTTTTAATAAATTAAATGTATTTATAATGTACACTCTGCTGTACATTATAAATACACTCTGCTACACTCACACAATTGCAAATTGTATTTTCAGTTGCGTTTTCCATATATGGACGCATACATTGTGACATAATCCAAATTTACAAATTTGCATTACCGTTTGCGTTTTTGCTTTCGCGAACGCTTAGTGAGTGCCAAATTTCAAATGGAAAAGCAAAGTTCGTTTGCAACTGCATTTCCCATGTCTTACGATTTATGAGCCTGTCATATTTAAATAGCAATATTAATTACCACATCTGCTTTTTCACTCTCTCTGCGTTGCGCATATAACCTGCCAAAACTCACATGGAATCGCAGTTTCTTTAGCATTTGAATTCCCGATGCCTTACACGGAAAGCTGTCAATCGGTGTCAGGGGCGGGACTATCCTATGAGGCGTGTTTGTATTGGGAAGTGACGTCACTCACAGACTATTATGTCGATTGCTTTGAACAATGGATGTAATCGGTAAAGGCTCTGCTAAAGCCAGCTGCCAGTCCGATAGACGTGTGTGAACGAACAGATAGTGCAACCCAGGGCACCTTACAGTACAGTGCAATTCTACACTTATTATATTATATTTTATTCCTTTCTTTTAATCTATAATAGAGCATCCACACCTAAGTTTCGCACCTGTCTTAAGATCTTTTAATATAATAATATAATGTGGAAGAGTGAGGAAAATCTGGGGTGGGATAGGGTCTTGTACAACATTATATTATGAAAGTTAAATAATCAAACATAATCAAATCATAATTTACCGATCCACCAAGCTGGTTTCTGCTGGTCAGACTGATCTGGTTCTTTGATGGTTTTATAGGGATTTTGGACACTTGTCAGACTGTCTGACAAGCTAAACCAGAAAAGATCAGCAAAACCACTTTAAACTGTTTCAAACTTTTCATCAGGACTCCAAAATAATAATAACATAAATCTCTTTGCTTCCCAGTATACAGACGCATTGTAGAGTCTGACGTAGGTGACTCGTTCTACATCAGGACCCATTTTGAGTACGAGAAGGAGTCGCCCTACGGCCTGAGCTTCAATAAGGGGGAGGTCTTCAGAGTAGTCGACACCCTTTACAATGGCAAACTGGGCTCTTGGCTTGCCATCCGCATCGGCAAGAACCACCAGGAGGTGGAGCGGGGCATAATCCCCAACAAGAATAGGTGCTGAAGCCATTTGTACTAGTTTGCATTGAGTCGTGCGTTTGAGGTGTTGAGTTATTCAAGTTTGAACTGTTATTTTGTGTTCTCTACAGGGCTGAGCAGCTATCGAGTGTCCAATACACTCTCCCAAAGACTCCAGGAGGGGATCGGGCCGACTTCTGGAGGTTCAGAGGCCTCCGTAGCTCCAAACGCAACCTGAGGAAGAGCAGAGAGGACCTTTCTGCTCAACCTGTCCAAACAAAGTTCCCCGCTTATGAAAGAGTGGTGCTTCGAGAAGGTAGGCTGTTTATTAGGGCTGGGTTTTGACACAAATTTCACGATTCGATTCTCATTCACAAGCTTTCGATTCGATTCAATATCGATTATTTTGGATATATATCAGGTACAGATTTTCTCAAGGAAAAAAAAATCTCTCAACTATGCTTTAAAATATACATGAGAGTCAGTTGGTACTACATTACTATAATATTGAAGGTTAAAATTGACTGATTTGTTAAAATTACACAATTACGTTTTTAAAATAATAAAGTTACAATTACATAATATTTCTACTTCAATTAGTTTTTATTATATAAACATAATGGTGGCTGTCATAAAAACTTGATGGATTTATTAAAACATAAATTAAACATTGAAGAACAGTAAAATTTATAGTGAATGTTATATGGTGCATATATTTAGCAAAATGCCCCTCTCTACAGTTTATTTTTCTATCTGACTAATGAGTTTATGGTCACCGAATATGTTTTTCCGAGGTAAATGTGACGTTACGTGACATTGTTTACAAGACGTTATATAGACGCGGCTGAAACACTGATTGAGCGATTACATGAGACAGGATACGGATTGTAAAGTTGTACTCTTTCTTTTAACTTGCCTTCGGATGTTTAGTCATGATTATTTTGTGCTGAAACTGGTATTAATATGGAGGAGATTATTAGTTCACGTGCGCCTCACGCTGCTGCGTCTACAGCAATCTGTCACTCCACATTAAACAGCGCCAAAATGGCATTTATTGTTTGAATACTGCAATACAATGGACAAAATTTTAAATATGAGACTTTGTTTCATATTAAAAGTACCAACGCACAATGCTTATTGTGATATATTGGATGGGAGGTGTGCATCAATTTTCCATCCATTAACTGAAAACAGGCTAGACTAATCGATTCTTGGGATTTAAGAATTGATATCGTTCCGTAAAAATGAGAATCGATTAATATCGAGATATAGATATTTTTTACCCAGCCCTACTGTTTATAGACCTGCTTTTAGTTGCTATGGTTATTTCGGGTTTGAGCATCTACTTTTAAAGCTTTGCTAATCAATTTCAGTTTGTCTGTGGAAGTTTGCAGGAAATAATCTGATAGCCTTGCAACGAAGGAAAACCTTTTGTAGAAATCTAGTTAACCTGTTGTTTCTTCTGCATAAAAAGCTGGTTTCTTGAGGCCGGTGGTCATTTTCGGGCCTATTGCGGATGTCGCAAGAGAGAAACTGTCCAGAGAGGAGCCTGACGTCTTTGAACTTGCAAGTAAGTTCTGTGTAAAGAGGATTTCAGCGTTCTTTTTTGGGGGGGGGTTCGTATTAAGAAGGTATAAAACGTCTTATTCTCCTTCTCTAAGAGAGTGAACCCAGAGATGCAGGCACAGACCAGCGCAGCTCTGGAATCATCCGTCTCCATACCATTAAACAGATCATTGACCGAGTGAGTATGGACTCGGATAATTTAGTTAACTGCCATCCAGCTTTCCATCTGCTCAGCTCGTGAGCATAGTCTCACAGACCCTGCAAAGACCCGGCTGGTGTCTCATGATTCTGTTTGTGCTGCTAGGACAAGCATGCAGTGCTGGACATCACCCCCAATGCGGTGGATCGTCTGAATTATGCTCAATGGTACCCCATCGTGGTGTTCCTGAATCCTGACAGCAAGCAGGGTGTCAAGAACATGAGGACCAGGCTCTGTCCTGAGTCCAGGAAGAGTGCCCGGAAGCTGTATGAGCGTGCTCTCAAACTGAGAAAGAGCAACCATCACCTCTTTACCAGTGAGTAGACCCAACAACAAAATAATATTATTAGACTCATGTTGTTACAAACCTGTTAGACCTTCTTTAGTCAATGGAACACAAAAGGAGACATTTTAAAGCATGTCCAGGGCAATCTAGTTCATGTAATGAATGAGAACTGGGAACTTTTGCAAGCTACAAAAGCACCATAAAAGTTATTGTTTTAAATGCAAGCATTACTTGTGGTGTGTTTGTAGTAAGTAAATTGCGACTTCCTGGCCTTTTAGCCACCATCAACTTGAACAACATGAACGATGGGTGGTACGGAGCTTTGAAAGAGACCATCCAGCAGCAGCAGAACCAGTTGGTCTGGGTCTCAGAGGGCAAGGTAAGCTTCTCTAAAGTTTTGTGCCTCACTATCTAGATGTTGCTTCTTTGTCTAGAGCTCCCACCCCCACTCAAACACCTTATGGCGCTTTTCCACTGCATGGTACCAAGTGAACCGTACTGTTACCAAAACGTGACGTGTAAACTCTGCTGATCACAGATTGGCCGGAGAGAATCGTCACTACCTGCGTCACTGAACTTGCGACACAAACACAACAAAACCACTAGATTTAAATCAGCACAGCCAGCAAAGGAACGAGCGCACCTTTTTTTAACAACCAAAAAGTGGCTGTTTCGCTGTCTGTTGAGGAAATACAGAAGTTCCACTCGTTGATAGCAGAGGAGCGGATCCAGCAAGAGCTTGATGGGGCGACGCGGAATGAAAAAGTTTTTTTAGGAGTCGCGGCAGTAGATTATAACGACATGTGAATAAATCCCGCCCACTCTAAAGCGGTACTGAACTGCAGTGGAAACGCAAACCGAGCCGTTCCGTGCCGTACCGTACTGAGCCGAGTCGTACCACGCAGTGGAAAAGCTCCATTAGATCAGTGTTTCCCAACCCTGTTCCTGAAGCCACACCAACAGTACACATTTTGAGACTCTTCCCAATCAAACACACCTGATTCAACTCTTCAGCTCGTTAGTAGAGACTCCAAGACACGAAATGAATGGGTCAAATAAGTGAGACATCCAAATTATGTACTGTGGCTGTGCCTACAGGAACAGGTTTGGGAAGCGCTGCCTTAAATGAGGGTCGGCAACCATAACAACCCTAGCCTCATTTATGTGTCTTATGCAATGCATTACTACACTGCTCTCTGGAATACTTGATTTTGGTTGGTTAGTTGTCGTCATTCTGTGGTTAAAACTTTTCTAGTTACTCTGTATAATTTAGTAAACAATAATTATGTGCCTGTAATTAGTGGTCAACCTATAATTGCCAAGGCCAATAATGACCGATATTGGCATCAGCCTTTAATTTGTTCTTTTTGGTGTTGGAACCATGACTTTTATTTTGACAGCACTAAAACTGTCAATGCCTCAATAAATAGTAATTATATTACTGTAATTGTAATTAGTGATTGACCTCTATATTGCCAAGGTCCTTGCCATTTTTTTAATTGGCATTAGGCTTTACATTTTTCTGTTTGGATAAGTGTTGAAACTTTTATTTTGACAGCACTAAAAACAGCAGCACCTGAATAAATAATTAGATATTTGTAATTGTAATTATCGGTCAATTTGTATATCGGCAAGGCCAATTAATTAACCGATAATTTATTTATAACTGCCAATGGCTGAATAAATAATGATTATATACATGTATTTGTAATAAGTGGTTGATATATATATCAACAAGGCTGTTTGAAATGTTATAATTATCGGCATTGGATGATTGGTATTTATGTTTGGCCGAGTTGTTGGATGCATTTTGCTTTCTATAATTAGTGAACTGTATAGCTGAATAAATAATACTTATAATAACCATAATTATAATTGGAAAAACTGAATAAATCTGAAAACTTTGAGCCGATATATATCTGATACAATGAAAAAAATTGTCTAATATTGGCTGATAACTGATATCATACAAATATATTGTGTATCCCCACAAACAATTTCTGCTTAAAACAATATTTCAAATCTGTTTATTCATTTATTTGCTTAGTATCCATGTAAAATGTTTTTATTTACTATATATATTTTAAAAAAAACTTTTTAAGAGCAAAAAAACCAGAGCAGAGCTATTTCTGCTTTTACACAGTTCCAGTCCAAGGCGTTTGATATGCATTAGTTTCCGCTCTCACCATCCATCATTTCATTTCCACTGCTGTGGGTCATCAAACTCATCCTAACCATCCCTCCCTCCCCCTCTCCGCCTGCAGGCAGATGGCGCTCCTGACGATGACCTTGACATCCACGATGACCGCCTCTCCTACCTCTCAGCACCGGGCAGTGAGTACAGCATGTACAGCACCGACAGCCGCCACACTTCCGACTACGAGGACACTGATACGGAGGGCGGGGCGTACACTGACCAGGAGCTGGATGAAACCATGAACGACGAGGTGGGCCTGCCCAGCGAGCCTGCCATCACACGCTCATCTGAACCTGTCCGAGAGGACCTGCCGGTCATCCAGGACGCAACTGGGTACCCGAGCTACCAGCATGCTGTGCCGCAACCGGAGCCGGTTAACCGCATCGACCCAGCCGGGTTTAAGATGGCAGCGCCTCAGCAGGTACAGAATATGAGTACCATTATGTATGTGTGTTGGTTACTTTGTTCATTTCAGTGGGACTTCTTTAAGTTTGAGCATAACATGGGCCATTTCTGCTATGCAGTGCTTTTTGAAATCTCTAACTTTTAAAAAATGAATATGCTTGTGTTGTAATTTAATGAAGTATTTCTATTAGAGATACTCAGGCACTAAATTATTAAAAAAATTATTAATTATAACCTATTCACATACTGGCAAGAAAATTAGTTAAGATGAACCTTATAGGATATAAATAAGAATCTAAAGTGAGGAGCGTTAGCTTACACGAGTATTAACTTGATCATTTTTATTTATTTTATTATTATTTTTAAATATTTGTTTAGTTTACATAAGTATGTTAGCTTGCTAAATTTGTATGTATGTATTTATTTATTTATCATTTATCTGTTTTAGATAAGGTTACTTTGTAGCTTGTTATATTTTAATCTTGGTTTTAACAGTCTTTTAAAATATATGCATTTTTCTTTCTATCAAACAAGATGGAATGATTCAAGTCAGACCAATGAATAGCACAAAACATCACAAAATTATATAAAAGCTGTTGTTAATTCTTGCTGATGTTTGTGCTGATGTCACTTCCTAGAGGACAAAGTCATTAAGGAACAGGCTTTTGTTAGTTAAAGGGATAAAGTTAGGCTTTAGGGCTTTGTTAGTCATTACGATATACAGAAGACTGACAGGATGAAAAGTATACTTAAGGACACCGGGAGAAATAATTGCAGTTAATTTTTTTTTTATGTTACTAACGAATACCACTTGAAAAATATCATCTGCTCAAAAATAATTTATGTTTCTTGAAATACACTCTGTTAGTTGTGAAATTGAGTGCATTTGCGTGTACAATGAATTCTAATAACGATCAATTCAATTAAATACCAGACAACAAAAAGTTTACATGAGATTTACATTTTTGTCTTTTTTTTTTCTGGTGATTCTTACTAATATGGATTCTCTCTTTTTGAGTTTAATATGTTACCTAATAAAATAAATATATGATCAAAATATGAAATTGTACAGCATAGTAGAAATGACCATATAACATAACAAAACCCATTTTCCTTCCTTTGGGTCGTTATCTGAAATGTTAACCTTTATTTTCTGCCTCAATAGCATTTTAAACTGCATATGCAGCAGGACTGGAACACTACCTAGTTTTCTGCTTCCTGTAAAGCTAAAGACACTTGATGTGATCTAGTTTATATGATCAGATGACATTCTTTTCCAGACAAACTCTTATTCAGCTTTCAGTAGCTACCAGTTAACCTGGTTATGGATGCTTTGGTTGTTGTAGCCGCTAGTTGTAGCTGGTGCTTTTGGCAGCGCGTGTCTGTAACCTTTTTGCCCCGTACTCCACAGCAAGCTGAGGCCGCTCTGGCCTCGCCACCCCCTCCCTCTGCAGCGGCAGCAGCGCCCCCTGCTGTCCAACCAACCGCGCCACTAGCGGGTACGGACCCAGAGGAGCCGACTGGCACCCCTCAGGCCGACACCCTTAACAGCCCCGTCCCTGTTCCTGACCCCCAGCCCGAACCTGAGCTCGCTCAGCCCCCAACACACGATCCCCCCCAGTTGCTTCCTCCTGGCCCAGATCCAAAGGTACCAGCAGCACCGGAAGCTGGACCCACTCCCGGCCCGTTTCGGCCTGGTTCAGCCCAGCTATTTCTTTCTCAACCTTGCCTGTGTCTATCACTATTTTCTTTGACTCTTCCCACTCCACTGTGTGCATGAATGCTCCGCCCACCCCACGCGTGTGCTGCGTGTGTTCCTCTGACACTACAGCAGAGACTGTGTAACTGGTACACATGCACCACAGGAGGACGAGGGCCCGTTGCATAAGTAGAAGTGCAGTCTCCTCACTTGTTGCCTCGTACATCCTCTTGCATGGCTCCTAATTTATGACGTTTCTTTCAGCTTGTTTTGTCTGTATAGGGCTGGGCGATATATTGAATAGTCATGATATGAATGCGATGGCTATTTGAAATGGTGCAACTTTGCGAATGTGTGACGATTTTAATGCACACTTTATTCGGCTAATATGTTTCTGGACTTTTTCCCCTTGCAGTTCTGAGTTTTTTTTCCCCTTGTAATTCTGCTTTTATATCTTGCAATTCTGGGTTTGTATTTCTTTCGCAATCCTGAGTTTGTGTCTCTGAAATATAAACTCAGAATTGGGAGGAAAAACGACAGATTGTGAGATATAAACTTTGATCTCTCAGATTTGTGAGAAAAAAGGCTGAATTGTGAGATTAAAACTCAAAATTTTAGTTTTAATAAAAAAAACTAAGATTAAAAATCATTTCCATTAATCAGTACAAGCAGTCCACTGTAAGGAGTCAATTCATAACTGTTTCAGTGATTCATCCGCATCATCACTAACATCACTCACATATTTTTTATAATTGTTTTTTTAATATATTAAAATGTTTTAAGTAAAATTTTACATATATAATTTATTTTATTGTATATTGCTATTGTTTGCATCAACATAAAAAATTTTACTGGAATATTTTCCCCCATAGTGTTTGCTTTTATGTATTATTTTATTAGTGCATAACATTTCAAATAATTATTTGTTTTGTTTATTGAAAAGCTGTGTAAAACAAGATTATTGAAACCTTGATTTACTGCGTGCACTATGCTGTTTGATGTAAACAATGGATTTTTTTATTTTAAGCTATATCGCCTGGCCCTAATCTGTAGTGATAGCTGTAACGGTAGCGTTTGGCTTTGACCTGAATCACATCTGTACAGACGGCCACTAGATGCACTGTAGACGTGTCACTAAATTGCAAATGGACCTTTCCCTGATTTGCAAGAATGGACTTCTGTAGTTGCATGTTCATTTAACCTGCAGACAGTACTTACAGCAATGTAAAAGGAAAACAACTGGACTAATCCTGCATAATGTCTTCATAACCAATGTTCCTTTTCATAGATGAAGACGTTATGTAAGAGCTTTTGTGATTGTTAACTTGTCTTATAGGAGGCGTTGGACCTTTTACAGCTCTACTGTCTTCAGGCTATACTTTGAAGCTTGAGAAGGAGCCTTTCAAACAATGAACGAAGACATCTTTAAAGCTCCACTTGGTCCTATTATAAATTTATTAGATTTTGCTAAAGATTAGGAATCAAAGAAGTGTAACCAAGTGGAGTTGCTGTACATGTTGAAGGGCTTCTTTTCAAAATGTAGTAATGTAGAGCTGAGTTGCAAATTCGTAAGATGCTTGTTTTATTGCATATTGAATTAATGAATTATTAATGTTTTTTCTGTTCAGGAGTGAGTTTAGCTTCAGTGCTTGCAAGGCACCACTGCATGTATATTTACTGAAAGTTCATTTAATACTATAAATAATAATTTAGCACCAAATCAGCATATCAGAATGATTTCTGAAGGATCATGTGACACTGAAGACTGGAGTAATGATGCTGAAAATTCAGCTTTGCATCACAGGAATACATTACATTTTAAAATCTATTAAAATAAAGAACTATTATTTGAACATTTTAAATTAAAATAATGTTTCACAGTATTACTATTTTTACTATATTTTACTCAAATAAATCTAGCCATGGTTAACACGAGACTGCTTTCAAAAACATTAGAATTTTTAAAAAGGATTTTAAAAAAATCTAACATTTCGATATTTCGTTTGCTAATTTTTTTCCTTCTGGAAATCAGCATATCAGAATGATTTCTGAAGGATCATGTGACACTGAAGACTGGAGTAATGATGCTGAAAATTCAGCTTTGCATCACAAGAATACATTACATTTTAAAATCTATTAAAATAAAGAACTATTATTTGAACATTTTAAATTAAAATAATGTTTCACAGTATTACTATTTTTACTATATTTTACTCAAATAAATCTAGCCATGGTTAACACAAGAGACTGCTTTCAAAAACATTAGAATTTTTAAAAAGGATTTTTAAAAAATCTAACATTTCGATATTTCGTTTGCTAATTTTTTTCCTTCTGCAATAAAACCACATTATTTTAAAACTGTCATGTGATTTTTACTGTATGTAAAACCATGCTTACTTTTTTACTGCCTTGCAAGCACTTGTTTTTCTTGAAGGAAATACTTATTTACTTAAATATTTCTTTGTCGTTAATTTGAAATATTTTGCCTGTTTTATTTAATTTTTTATCTTTAAAAATGTGCCAGATCTGTTTAATTTAATGACTTAACGACTGAGGTTGTTTTGCAAATGTATGTAAATAGGAAATATCCTTTTCATAGCCTTTTCAATCATTCCGGCTCTGACAGTTGATGTTTTGTCCCTCACAGATGTATAAAAAGGATCTGTACAGCATGGATGAGGCGGTGCGAGTGAACCACAGCGTGAAGCCTCCCCCTCCCCACCACCAGCAGCAGCAGCAGCCTTTAGGGCCCCCCACCTCGCTCTCCTACAGCCACCAGCCTGTCTACCAGGACCAACAGCCATACCGCCAATACGAGCACCCGCCTTATGGCTATGACGGTGGCGGCTACGCACAACCAAAGCCTCACAATTACGACCCACACCTGCACTACGACAGCCGTGTGCCTCACTACAACGAGCAGTGGCCCCCTTACGACCAGCAGCAGACTTCACCCCAACCGCCACCAGTGTCCGGCTACCCTCAGGGCCACCAGCCTCCTCCTCCCCCCCAACTGGGGTACGAACCTCGCTCTCCATACGAGGATGGCCCAACCAGGGATTTCAGCCCCCCTCAGTCCCAATACGATGGCGTGTCACCAATGAACTACGATAACCGGCCGCGGCACGCTAAACCCGCCACGGCGCGCTACGAAGAACCGCCCCCTCCAGTCTCCTACGACGCCCGCTCTCCCTTCGAGTCCGATCCACATGGTTTCCCAGGCAATGCGCTTCGCTCCCCTGATCCGCCCAAGCAGTATTACGGTGATGCTGCAATGAGACCCTCGTACAACCCTGGAGCGCCGAACCGAACGTATAAACCAGCGCCACACGAGCCTGTGATGAACTCTGAACCTCCTGCTCCGCCTCCCAAACCTGAGGCCGTCTTGTCTTCAGGAGAGCCGGCTCACCCTGCAGCTCCCAAACCATTGCCGCCTCCCCCCAGGGATGATGATGATGATGATGATGATGATGAAGACCCTGCCATGAAGCCCCAGTCTGTGCTCAACAGGGTAAAAATGTTTGAGAACAAGCGCTCCATGTCCGTAGACCGAGCCAAGGATACGCCGGAAGTAGCGGGAATCAGGGTATATTTCTGTCCGCTTGATACTGAACCTAGACTTTTCCATTGAGGGCTTTGTTGTTAATGGTTTTATTTGCATCCACATAACAATTTAATATTTTAGTGTCGACTTTTGCACAGAGAAGAAGGACTTCAGAAAATGTATAAATCTAGTTTGTGTATGTGAACGTGTGATGACAGAATGGATGTACTTTCTTCTTCAGCCCACAGATCTCCCAAAACCTGTGAGCACACCTGGTCCTGTGCTTAAAGCCAACTCTCTCAGCAACCTGGAGCAGGAGAAACACTCTTACAGGTACAACCACATACTTACTGTACCGTTCAAAAGTTTGGGCTCTGTGAGATTGTTTAAAATGTTTTACATGAAAGTGTCTTATGCTCACCAAGGCTGCATTTATTTGTTCAAAAATTGTACAGTAAAAATTGTAAAATTGTCAAATATTATTGAAATTTAAAACAACAGTTTTCAATTTAATATATTTTAAAATATAATTTATTCCTGTGATCAAAGCTGAATTTTCAGCATCATTAC